AGAGTAAAGCGCTCATAGAAAGTATAAGCCATGTACCAATGCTTACTGGGATCTCATTTGATCCTCACAACTACTTTACAAGGTAGGTATTGTCCATTTTAGAGATGGGACAGAGACTAAATAACTAGTTAAAGGCCACATAACTATAAGACACCAAAGCTCATCTCTTTTCATCATAGCACATTAATGCCAACAAGAAGATAAGAGTTTTCTTCCAATGTTTAACAAAATACCAGGTTTGTATTAATAGATTCAGAAATCATTGAACACTGACCTGTAACATGCACCTGGATACAACAACTTCAGGTACTTCAGGGAATTTTTGTCGCAGGTCATGTAAAACCTGAAAATCAATTTGGTGGCTTCCTTGGGCCATTCGTATATTGCCCGATCAGGACTACTTATACAGTAGGCAGTTCTAGGCCTTAGTGGAAATAGTACTCATCTCTTCTGTCCACGCATTTTCTGTGAAAGAAAGAAAAAAAAAATTTAATGAGAACTGATTATAGAATGAATATTGTTGTGGATTTAAAATCTCAATACAAAAGGGTATTGTGCTCTAGTACTTATTTAATATAAATTATAAAAATATTATTGAGTCCTACAATGCTTTCCACATAAGTTATACTATTTTTTCAGTTTTTAACTCCTGATGGCAAGCTGCAGTGCCCATAGGTATTTAAAAAAGAAATTATTGTCCAGGTAGTCTTCCCTCATTCTTTCAAAAGGGGAAAGTGACTAACTTTACTTATTTTAAAAATATATATATTTTATTGATTTTTTACAGAAAGGGATAGAGAATTAGAAACATCGATGATGAGAGAGAAACATCGATCAGTTGCCTCCTGCATACCCCCTACTGGGGATGTGCCCGCAACCAAGATACATGCCCTTGACTGGAATCGAACCTGGGACCCTTTAGTTCGCAGGCCTACGATGCTCTATCCACTGAGCCAAACCAGTTAGGGCTGATTTTTTTTTCTTAATGATTAGAGGATGGCCTGAGGAGAGTAATTCTCATTTATTCTACATAAAATTAAGAACCTGAAAAACTTTGGTCCTACAAATAACTTTGCATGTTTTGTTTAAAAAATTACCTATAACCCAATACACTTGATATTTTCTGTTAATTTTCAGATAGACTTAATCCTCAAGTGTAATCAATTCATTCTCAAATGCTTAGAAGCACTTTATTCTGTGTTTCCATTAAATCACTATTTCAAAAACAGTAATGCTTGGCTTCAACTCCAGAGATTCTGATTTAATTGGTTGGGGAGGAGCCTGTGCATATAAGTTTTTTAAAGTTCCTCAAGTGATTCTAATGTGTGGCCAAAGAGAACCGTCTACCTTATTTTTATTCCTAATGTAAACCACATTGATTCTTATTTAAGCCTCTCTGGGATATAAATAGTATATAAGTATATTAAACTAAAATAGCATATTAAAATATTTACAATCATGGCATTTACTTAATAATTAAAATACATTTCATTTTAGGATAAATTTAACAGAAAGACAGTCGCTTTAAAACAAATTTCTTATCTGTAGTATTTCTTTTAACCTCATTAACATAACCTTGAAAAAATACAGGTCTGTAAACTCCATGAATATAGAAATTAGGTCTCTTTGATTCATTATTGTAAATCTAGCACTTTGTAGACAGTTTTCAGCGTTAACAGTTGATATTAAACTATTTTTTAGTAAATTTAGTTATGACAGAATTCCTGAGTTCATAACAGAATAAATCACTTAGAGAGCATGCACAGTACAGCCCTTCAGATTTTTATTATCATCTGATTAAATTTTACTTAATTCTATGGGACTAGCTTGGTTACATATTAGGTGAAAGCATTGTCAAACCAAGTTATTTGCAATATAAATTTCCAAAATCTATTTCTATGTAAGACACATACACACACAATTTCAGCACTGAAAGTGTTTCTACAAAAGGGCTGCAGGAGAAAAGCACTGCAAGTTAGTAAATGATATTTAAAAATAATTTAAGGGGTGCTGCTCATCTTGAGAAAGCTACCCTTGACTTTACTCTGCCCATTCCCTCCTCTGGACTAAAACTCCTGGAAAGGGTTGTTTATACTTAATCATCTTCATTTCCTTCCTCCTAATCTCTTATAAATCTATCCCAATCAGGGTTTCATAGCCTTTCCTGCACTGAAACTATACTTATCAAAGCTGTCACAGACCTTTGGATTTTCAAACTAAAGGTCAGTCCTCAGTCTTCATCTTACAGACCTCTCCTCAGTCACTCCCTCATTCTTTAAACAATTTCTTTACTTGACTTCCAAGATTTATACTCTTCTGGTTTTCATCCTACCCAATGGCAGCTCCTTCTCAGTTTTTTCAGATTCTCTTCCTTTTCTTGACATCTAAATGTTGGTGGGCTAGGGAGTTCAGGTCTAGGGTTTCTTTTCAACTATACCTACACTCCTCTTCAAGGTAATCTCATCCAAACACACTGCTTTAAACAGAGGCTTTGCAAATTTGTATCTCCAACTCCAAGGGAGCTCTCACCCTGGAGTCCCAGACTAATATGGCCTGCTGCCTGCCTGACATATCTCCTTCTGTATATCCAAAATTCTTAGTGTGTCCAAAATCAAATTCTTAATGTCCCCCCATCCAAACCAATCCTTTCCTAGTTTTTTTCATCTAAGCAAATAGTACCATCATTCATACAGTTGCTCCTCCTCTAACATCCCATATCTAATCCATCATCAAATCATGTTAGATATATCTGCAAAAAAAAAATTTTGAATCTGAATTTCCCCATCTCTGTTACTGCTTTTGTCCAAGCCATCATAATTCACCTAGATCAGCGGTTCTCAACCTGTGGGTCGCGACCCCTTTCGGGGTCGAACAACCCTTTCACAGGGGTCACCTAAGACCATTGGAAAACACATATATAATTACATATCGTTTTTGTGATTAATCACTATGCTTTAATTATGTTCCATTTGTAACAATGAAATTGGGGGTCACCACAACATGAGGAACAGTATTAAAGGGTTGCAGCATTAGGAAGGTTGAGAACCACTGACCTAGATTGAAAGCAAAGGTCTCCTAACTGGTATCTTCCCTGCTTCACTCTTTGTTCTACATGCATCCCCCACTCTACTGAGGGGTGTGATCTTTGTAAAAATTAAGTCTATCATTCTCCCTGCTCAAAATCCTACAACACACAGCTCCTGGCTAACTACCAGCCCTCAAACTTCATCTCCTACCATTCTCCGTGTTCCCTCAGTTCTGAACTGAGCCTTTGGTTCTTTGATTTCTCAAAGAAGCCAGTCTCATTCCTCCCTTAGGCTTTTGGACTGGCTGTTTCTTGTGTCTGGGATACTTTCCCCTCGGATTGCTTACATGGGTCCTTCTCTTACCTCATGAAGATCTCTAACCAAATGTCACTTCCTCAGAAACAGCTTCCCTGACCAATCTATCTAAAATAATGCCACACTTGTCTACCAACCCATCACATTCTTATACCCTTTTTCTTCATAGCATGACATATATTTATTATCTATCTAGGTATCTCCAAAATGTTAGTTCCACAGGATTAAGAAGTTTGAAGCTTATTGCTGTCTAGGTCAAAGAAGCAACATTTTGATGAAATGAAGGTTTTACTGTTTGATTTCTTCAAATTCCTCTGTTTCACGACATTTCTAATGATCTAGATATTTGCTGTTCCCAAAAGCAAATATCTAGAGGGAGAAGCTTATCCAGAGGACGAAGCAAATACATTTTCAGTCTAATTCAGGAACATTTTATTATTTAAAAGAGGATAAATCATGTAAATAAATTTCAACTTATTTCATTATTAAAACATATACAGAAAGCTCTAAAGTTCTTTAAAAAACTATCACATTTGCTTTTCTCATAAAGACTATCAAGTACACAAATGAAGAAACTGTTCAAATTTATTTGGGGGTTTCACTTTCTGCAATGGCTAAGTAGCTCCTACTAGACCAACTCTCTCACCAAGAACAACTATAAACAATAGACAAAGTATAAAAAGCAACTACTTGAAGGCAGAAAGCAGAAACAGCAATGGGGTGGTGGTGGTGGTGTTAGGGATGGGGAGAAGAGAGTCAGTACTTAGGAGAGAGTACAGCATGGGGGTGACTTTCCATTTTTAAAAATAGCTTATAGCCAGAAAGCAGGCCCCAGTTGGTTCGGGTAGATAAAACCTAGACAGAAAACCTGCAACCTTACTCGCTTACTGAAACAAAGGACAGACTTTGACATAACCACAACAGCTGAAAACTAGTGAGTAAATCACAGAAAGAACAGAAGCACCAAATTCTACATATTCTATCTACACACATCTCTGATCCCCAAACTACACATATGTGAGTGATTCCAAGCAGCCAGGCTAAGGCTAAAATAACAAAACTGAGATTTCAGCGTATAGTTGAGTTCAGCCAAGTTAACTAAAACAGACAAGCAAGCAAACAAAACAACCAACCAAATATCAATACTAATTGGAGGAACACAATAGAATTCAGTCTTTACTGTGTGTCATTCATAATGCCCTTGCTCTCCAGGCCACAGAAACCCACGGGTTAAATACACGTTCACATTTAGGTAACAATTTTAACTCGCCCACTATTTTATCTTTTGTCTGCCTCCTTCTGCTATCAGATCTGATGCCTGCCATCTCAGTTTATCTTGCTATCAGTCAATTTTTTCATCTTTTTCACATCATGCAAAAACAGAAATTAAAAGGTGGTATGGTACATTATGGAAAATTGTAAAGAACAGAGAAAGAAAAAGGTAGGGCCCAAATCATGAAGTGCTTTATAGGCCATTACAATTTGGAGGTTTTACTTTCAGAGTAATGGGAAGCCACTTGAAGGATTTAAGCTCAGAAGTAGGGAAGGTGACATGATTGAAAAATTACGTATATTTGGAGAACGGCTGGCTATAACAGAGCAAAGGGCAAAAGAATATGTGAGAAGACCAGTTAGAAAATTGCTGTAGTCTAACCAGGAAATGTAACAGCTTGTAATTTCAGAGAAACCAATGGAGACCGAGAAGAAGGAAAAACTTGTTTCCACATATGAGTAAGATCATGTGATACTTGTCTTTCTCTGACTGGCTTATTTCGCTTAGCATACTTTCCAGGTCTCTCCATGCTGTCTCAAAGGGTAAAAGATCCTTCTTTTTTACTGCTGCATAGTATTCCAGGGTGTAAATGTACCAGTTTTTTTTTTTTTTATCTGCTCATCTACTGATGGGCACTTGGGATGTGAATATTGGAATCTCAAGTTACACAGGATCTAGGAAATCTTGTAAAAGTATGTAATTTGAGAGGTTAGAGAAAAGCCTTGTTGCTCAGTAGACTCCTTGCCAGACTTCCTCTTTCACATATCTGTCCAATTTTACCTCTTAAAAACCAACTCTTGGCAACAAATTCTTTATAGTAATACTAGAGGCCTGATGCACAAAATCTGTGCAAGGGGCTCAGCCCTCGCAGCCCTTCACAGCCCCAGCTGGCCTGCTCAGCCTCGGTCGGCCCTTGCAGCCCCGGCTGTCTCGGTTGGCCCTCACAGCCCCGGCTTTGTTCGGAAGATTGGCCAGACAGTTGCACTGCTGTTCAGTCTAATTAGCATATTAGCTCTTTATTATATAGGATTAGTTTCAAAGTGGAGAAAGTAACTTATTCACTGCTGTATCCTAAATATTTAGAAAGTGTATGGCATCTAGAAGATGCTTAGTAAATATTTGTTGCAAGGAATCTCTATGCATCAGAATACATATCTATTTTAAAGACTACTATAAAAAGTAGTAGTCTCTCCAAATTAAAGCAATTTCCTTACCCTCAGCTATAAGTCAGTGCTGCTATAATACCTTGCCTTGAAACTGCATATTTGTTCCAATATAATTGATATATTAGGGAACAATTTGAGCATTAAGTAAATTTTGCTGTGAGTTTGTCTGTGAGAAATACCAGATGAATACAGAAAATCATATTCACCTGAAACAAGTTAATGAATACACAAAATGTAAATATGAACACACCTCAAACATCTGATAGCTCCCTCACTCACTGCATCTGTATGCAGTCAGTTGGTCACATCCATCCACATCTTGTGTTACAACTTTCCTTCTGATTTCAGAAAACCCTCCTTTGACCACTTCACAATAATAAGCTGCCACACTTCCATAAGCAAACTTCAGGCTTTTTCAAAGCAAAGAACAATTTATTTGTATAAATGCTGTATAAATATTTATATATTTCTTAACCGCTTAACATTTATACATGCTTTTCTAAGGTTCCTATCTTTTTTTAATGTTCACTTAAGAAGTTTTTGAGTGTTATACCCCAAATTCTATTTTTTCCCATAAACCCTGTTTGTTTGTTTTTGGTACAATTTGCAAAGCATGGTGATTTTTAGAAATAAATACCTATGTCAAATGTTAACAGAACGACTGCAAAGCTCCTCTGACCCCAACAACTATTAACACTAACTTCCCCAGGATGTCTAATGTGAAGGCAGAATGTTTCAACTTATCTTTGGTTGTCAATATGATGTTAGCAGTTTCTTATCACTAATTATAATGTGTCTTTTCTGTGGATTGCCTGACATTATCACACTGCAGTTGAGTTATTCTTTAAAGAATAACTATGATATGCAATAAAAATAGCAGGATGATGCTATAATTTTTTTAAAATAAAAGTTAAAGCAAATTTTGAAACCTTTTGGCCTGAAGGAAGATTTTAGGATTTAGCCAGAAAAATAATTCTATTACCTGCCTAGCTATGTATACAATTTTAAGCACCTTTTACATTATTGATGTATTATGTACATATGTCATCAAGTGCCAGTTAGGTAATAACTGATGCACTTCACATTTTTTTCCCTTTTAATGTTTTATTACCTATCACATATAAATTACGACCACACAATATAATTCTCACTCAAGATGATGGTTTGAATTATAAAATTTCAAGTATGAAATGTATTGTTTATTTCAGAGGGAAAGTAAGCAATACAACCAGTCTTGTCTATTTTTGTGATTCAGTACTTTAAGAGATAAGCTTAAATTACATAGCACGTTCAGAGAATGCCTCATTCCCTGATGACGAGGGGGTCAATGAGGTGTTATAGTATATAAGAATTAAGATTCAAATTGCCTACAAGCCATGGACAGTTGTATTCCTCATATGATGAGTGTGCACTTCACATTTTTTAACTTTAAAAGAATTTACAAATGTCATTAAACATGAAAAATTTCAAAATTATTTTTAACAGCAAATTAGTAGAATTATATTTCTTAGAACATGATGTTACAAATTTATGAGAGCAAAGCAAAATTCCCTCCCCTGCCAATCTATAATATCAAGCTATTTTTCTACAAGTTCAAGTATAAGAATTATAGCTATGTAAAAAAAAACTAAAATTCAAATACTAACAACCATTCAAAATTAAAAACAAGATAATTATAATCTGTCTTTAGCATAAAACAGATGTCATACTTAATAATTTTACATAGTTAACCAGTTATTTGCAAAAATAAAATAACAGCAACATACTAAATCAATCATATGAATGCTACTTAATTTAGGTTAACTATTATGTTTAGTTCTTTATAAACTAAAAGGGAGCAATGAGTCATGTTACCAAACTATAGATTTTTCAACTTTATAATCCTTTCTTTCTTTATTTATTTTATTTTTTATTACAAAGGGTATTACATATGTGTCCATTTCCCCCCCCCCTGCCCTAGACAGTCCCCTAGAAAAATAATAAACATTAATAGATGAAGTAACATAATGATGTACACTACCTCTTCTTAAAAATAAAGCCTCCCAATTTTCTCTTTTAATACACCGCCTCAAGTCTATGAATGTTGACCATTTCTTATGGCTAAAAGGCTTACCAGTAATACGTTCTTCTAAAAGGAATGTGCAATTCAGCCACACTTGGCAATTTATGTACTGTGGTTTTGTGGTGAGTGCTACCATTTTCTAAGGATCAAAAAAAGCGCAATAAATCTAAGACAGAATGGTTATAATTCATCAAAACATATTATATAACAACCTTTTTGTGTATTTTCCAAATCACCTCTCATTATTTTCCAATACATTAGGGCTTTAAGATAAAAACAGAGTTACTGCCCTAGCCAGTTTGGCTCAGTGGCTAGCAGGGGTGGGCAAACTTTTTGACTCGAGGGCCACAATGGGTTCTTAAACTGGACCGGAGGGCCGGAACAAAAGCATGGATGGAGTGTTTGTGTGAACTAATATAAATTCAAAGTAAACATCATTACATAAAAGGGTACGGTCTTTTTTTTTTTTTAGTTTTATTCATTTCAAACGGGCCGGATCCGGCCCGCGGGCCGTAGTTTGCCCACGGCTGGGCTAGAGCGTCAGCCTGCAGACTGAAGGGTCCTAGGTGTGATTCTGGTTAAGGGCACGTGCTCAGGTTGTGGGCTCGATCCCCAATAGAGGGCATGCAGGAGGCAGTCAATGGATGTTCCTCTCTCACACTGCAGTAAGAGGTGACCAAGCCAGCGGGGGGGGAGGCGGGAGGGAGGGCGGCAGTTAGGGGCGATCAGGCAAGCAGGCGAGCCAGTGGTCCTGGATTGTGAGAGGGATTCCAGATTAGAGAGGGTGCAAGCTTGCAGGATGTAACTGGTGACTGGTGACTGTATTGGGGGGAAAGCCATGATAGAACATGATAAATTTGAGAAATTATGGCTGTAATGCAGCTGAGAAGTGAGATGAAGATGAAAAGGTAAGAAATTTTCAGTGAAAATATACAGTTTTCAGATAATGTAAAATATACATATAAGAAAATTCTACTAGTCTGGAACTTTCTCATAGATATGACCCACTTTTTAGTTACCATTTCTGGGATCCATTCCACAAACACTGCCTACTATATGCTATGCAATGTGCTCTTATTATGCAAAAATGAATAAAATAGTCCATGCTTTTGAGAAGATTATAATCTAGATTTCAGATTTATACTGGACTTCTCACAGCACATCTGTTAGGTCATTTTATCCTCCCCACATATAGAGCAGAGAAGACAATTGTTATACCATAGTTTTTTAAACTGAAGAGAATCACAGAAAGACATATTAACAGATATATTTAGTTTCAACGGAGTCAGTAGCAGATCAACTGTGGTGTCACTACCCACTGTTACTACAATCAGTTGTGAGATGAGTTGAATGAAATTAGTTGCTAGTAATAAAGTACCAGAGTTCTACCTCTCTATTTATATAAATTAAACCATCTAATCTAGACAAACACAGGTATTCAAAGAGGAGCATACAAGGATGACCATCTCAGTGTATATTAACAACCTGAATGTTCAATGAGGAATGAATAAGTAAATCATTGTATAGCAATACTAAGGAATACCATGCAACCGTTTTTAAAAGTGGAGTAAGATATCCAGATAATTATATGGAAAGACTTGTAAAGACATTACCATATGAAAAAAAGATGCAAAAGATGTGTTATAGATTTGTGCTTTTTTAAAAAAAGATACAAAAAAGAGAAATTTTAAACAGATATTTTATATGTATGTATAGGAAAGGTTCTGAAAGGATATCACTAATTATCTGGAAGAGAGAGCTGAAAAAGGACTCATGATAGAAGATGGTCCAAGGAGGTTTAGTCATCTTTGCTATGTTTTCATTCTTTACAAGAATATATATATGCATGTATTATTTGTATAATTAGTCATAAACAATTGAGATAATTAGAGCAGAATATTTTCCTTATAAAATTACTTCCTATATATTTTCATATAACATAACTTGTATTCTGATACATGGGTAGGAGAGTAATAATGGAATGAATGAGTTATTTGAAAGTACCTGTACTTAGCCAACTATATGTAATTTTAAATACTTAAAGGACTATGTTATCTATGTTGAAACTGTTACTGATATAGCTGTTAACAGCTGCAACAATTATCAATTTTTGGGATGCTTGACAGATGAGATCTACAGTTATGTTTTAATTAAATTAATTTAATTTATTCAAATTAATGTTTAGTCTTCTACCTAATAATCAATCCACTGGTTAAAAAAAATAAAGGCCTGGTCTATCTCTCTCTTTTTTTACCCTAAGGTTAACTCGACATGAACTAATATGCAGTCCTCAAACTAAGTAACAGGGGTGGGAAACATCCAGTTTCGCAAAATCGTGTGGTCTGGCCCTGCCAAGGCATTAGAGGTGAGTTAATTAAATGTTTGACCAAATATAAACGGCTAATTTTTAAGTAGATAATTTTATATAGCCCACGAATGATGTTATAAATATCCAAATGGCCCTTGGCAGAAAAAAGATCCTCCACCTTAGTTTAAATGTTTAAAAGAAAGAGGTAAGGGGTAGTAGAAAAATAAGCTTATTGTTACTACCTTAAGAGTCTCCCAATAAACATAACACTCTCATAGGACTTATCACACAGAAATGTGGACAAGAACAATGTCCTGAGCTTATAATTACTAGTCCTGTGCTAAATGGTTAACACATACTATTCCTCACAATATTCCTGAAGTAAGATTAAATGAGAAATTGCACATAAAACTCTTCATACACAACCCCTGACATATAATAATAAATGCTGCCCTTTATTAGGTATTACTACTGCCTAATCTTTAACTTTATCAAGCAACCCTTGCTCTGCCACATTCAGTTTTTCAAAAGAGTCATTGATTTAAATACACCAGGGCTAAAATATCTTGAATGGATTCCATTATCTACTGAATTAAATCAAGCTCCTTCACTTGACTTTGGAAAGCATGTATAGCATAGCTCCATCTCCCATCATATCATCCTGTACCCCACTATTCTCTAGGCACAATGGATTGTTCACAATTTCTAGATCATATTACTTACTTTCACTTCCATAAATTAGAAAGACTCTTTCCACTCTCTGAAGAATTCTATCTATCCTTCAAGGCTCAGTAGAAACATTACCTCCCCTAAAATACGGATTCTCTCTGGTACTTTCAAGTACATTGTTTATACTTCTATTATGATACTTTAAAAAAATTACTCTCTATAAACTCAATGAAAGTAAGATTTATTCATTTTGACATCTTTACTGTGTCTAGCACAGTGCTTTAAACACAACTTGCATTCAATAATATAGATTTTTTTTTACCATTATTGATAGCCCGTGATAACTAATAAGACTTGAAATTCAGATGCAATTGCCTCTACAATTTCTCCTTTAATTCATATAACAGTGGTAATGTTCCTATAATTCTAGTAGTAGCTCCCTTTCCAGTCCTAATTCAACACTCATATTAAATTTTTTTCAAAACAAATTTTACCAAACAAATAATATGGCACATAATCAGTGACCTAATGCTGACTAGATTGGCTAACATTAAATTAATTATACATTAACAACGTAGGAATATAAGGAAAGCACAAGCTAGAATATTAGTATCATCTCTTAAGATAGCAATTGGAATATTCTTCTGTTCAATATTGGTAATCTCTAACCTATCTGAATTGACCCTTAAAATCAAAAGATATGTATGGTTATCTTTTTTAGTAAATAAAATCACCTTTTATGGATTAATTCTGTTTCTAACTCTGTACAAATTGGTAAAAGCAATAAAGGTTCTTAAAAGCTAACTGACCTCAACCCTCAAAATATTCATAAATTTCCTCTTGGTTAAAATCTAAGGCAGCAGGAAACCTCAGTTTTAATTTTGTTGCTAAAATTCCAACTACTTTCTAGTCTGGTTTCTTTTGCGCACTCAAGAAAAAAATATAGCAAATATTAGTTATATACTTACATTTAAAATAATTAACTTCTTCAGGTAATGGTTCTATATAATACATTATTTGGTTGTATATCCAGAAGTCTTACTTATGACTTCCAGTTACTGAAGAATATGTTTACTCTTTACCTAAAGATATTTTAGAAATGGTTGAGAAACTCAGGATGGAGAACTAGTTCATTTACTTAATCCCCTATATTACTTGTACTATATGTGAACCTCTGAGAGGAAGACAGTTCTATTATGGTTAATGTTTACTCTTTAATGAAGACCAGATTACTTTCTGTACATTTACAGGGCTTAACTCAATAGTATTTCAAATTTATTTTTCTTAAATTATTTCTGGATTAGTTTGCTACCACTAGCAAACAGTTCAATTAGGAATATTCAGGCAAAAGGTATGTTAAGGTCAATACTAGCTGCAAGTTACCTAGATGTTAGGGAGGCTACTATATTTTAAAGCAAGATGACCACAAATTTTGAAAGTAAAGTTTTGGTTATTATAGATTTCATCGTAAGGCAGTTACATAGGCTAAGCTTGACTGGTGCCATTGACTTTAGCATACCTGGAAATAGAAAAATTCAAATTGTAGCTGTTCTTGGTTGGCTCACTGCCATTTTTGCAGCTTACAAATTTTTAATTAAGTAACTGCAGTGAGCTCATCTCTACTGGATACTTCTTTTCCAGGGCAGGTCCAGGAACGGGGTCTGGAGCCTTGAAAGCAGAAGAGAAACTAGAGTAAACTAGAGGTAGGCAGAACAAGAAACGTGACCAGATAACATTATGAGATCTAACAGCAGTGAGGTAGTTCCCAATGTCTCTCACATAAAATATTTCAAAGTGGAAAGAGGGTCTCTTAAATTACACGTTATCAGAAGATGCTATTTACATTAGCTGTCATTATTTTTATCTTCCCAATTCTATTCTGGACTCCTGATTCTAGAAATTGAAATAGTAGCTTTTATGAAATCTCTAGTGGCTTTTAGCAATAGACTGTCCAACATCAGACCACAGAGTATAACAGAAAGAGAAAAACAATAAACCCAATTTCAATGGTAACACTTGTCCTCATTTTCAGGTCATTTTGTTTTTCTCTTTTGCTTGCTATCTTATTTACAATGGTCTTCTAACTGTTCCCCTAATTTCCTAAAATCAATTCTCAGACGTTTCTTTAAAAAATGCTTTAGATACATCCAAGCAGTAAATTTAATTTCAAGTTCTAATAAAAAATAACAAACAAACTTGGTAATTCTTAAAGAGGGAGGCAAAGAATAGCTTATAGTGACTCTGCATCACGTTGGAAATTCTTTTTTCCATAACCAAATTAGATTCAATTATTTTAAAAAGTTTTTGTTAGGTCCATATTAAAAAACAACCATACAACTACAAAGGTTGCAGAAATGGTAGGGTATTAAAAGTGGTAGATTGGTATACTAATTAGATCACTAAGGCCTGCAAACAATGTCCTTATACTTGGCAGGCTAGCACCCTAAGGAGTTTTTCCAAGAAACCAATCCCACAGCAGTCAAAATAAATTGAATTCTCTGCTGCTGCCAAATGATGGCTGCTGGTGAGAATTGTAACAGGACCAAAAAAAAAAAAAAAAAAAAAAGTGAAGACAAGGATTCAAATAACTTTTTGCATTCTTGGTAACTAGCAATACAACAAAGCAAAATAGAGTAAAAGTAGTTTTTAAGAAAAATGCAAATTTTCCATCACTGTGATGGTATGTTGTTGGTTAAAAAAAAAAGTCTGGGAGGGATAGATCTAGCCTTGGACAAAAACTCTCTGCAGAAGATTCCTTTCTATGAAATGGGACACCACTGCCCACCTCACTGGATTGCCATGAGAATTCGCTAAAGTCTATAAAGCACCTAAAAACTTGGCATATATTAGGTATTCAAAACATTTTTTGTTCTAAACATGGATATACTTAAGTGTTCATTTTCATAAATGCTAAAGCAACAGCTGTGTAACCAGCTTTAGTTTTAAATAAGTCATCTGCATCACATCCTAAGAGATATAACTCATTTTTCATCATTGCTTGCAGAACTACAAGGTAAATGTGTGTGAGAGTTCAATTCTGAGAGTTAATGATGAATAAAAATATAAGAATTTACATCTAGGATATAAAGAGAATTAGTGGCAAACAAAAAGACATGCAATTCTTCTCCAAGTAAAGTAGAAAATACTTTTGTCAATACCCTTTTTAAGGTTACACAGTGCTTTTTAAAAAACAAAAGAATCAATACATGATATAACTTAAGTCTTTAAGTCAGAAAATGCCTTAAGGGCAAAGAAAACTTACATTTGTGCAATAATTTTCCTCTTACTGACAGAACAGTGGTTTCCACACAAAATTATTATTTACCAAATATGGCTCAAAGATCAGATTACACCTTTCCTGGCATTACTAAGCAATAGAGCAAGTATCACAGCCACAGGAATAAAAAAAAAAACACTTTAAAGTCCTTCTAAATGTATTTACTGCTGCGACTTTATTTCAAAATAGTTTTCCTTTATATATTTTTATTGATTTCAGAGAGGAAGGGAGAGGGAGAGAGAAAACATCAATGTTGAGAGAGAATCATTGATTGGCTGCCTCTTGCACATCCCACACTGGGGATCGAGCTGCAACTCAGGCCTGTGCCCTAACCGCTAGCTGGGCTCAAAGTAGTTTGTAGAAGTTAACTTGAAAAGTGTCTTATTCAAAATAGACTGCAATTTACTTAGAGATAAGATTAAGTCTGTGCCTTCCCCAGAAGGCCAAAAAAAAAAAGTATTTTAAGAATGAGACTCCCCATTAACCTATATGGACAGATTTTCAGTTTAAAGCAACAACAAAAAGAAACACACAAAAAACCCCCCACTTTAGATTAACTAGGTTTCATACTGAAATCTCATTACAGTAATATTTCAGTTGATTCTTTTGGCTTTTCCACACATATAATGTCACTAATAAATAAAGAATTTGCCTCCTTCTTTTCAAATAATTACACTTATTTTGTTTTTTTTTTGTCTAATTACATTGGCCAGCATTCCCAAGACAATGTTACGTAATACTAATGCTGGCCACACCTTTTTTGATTCATGGCTTTTTAAAAGGAATTTTGTACTTCACTAAATAATAAAATAGGAATTCTAGTTTTTTACTATAAAAAATGCTGACTTCTGGTCTGAGATATATAAAATCTTAAGTACATTAATTTATTCTTGTTTCACTAAGGATTCCTATCAGAAGTGAACATTTATTTCTCCCTTTTTGGTTCCTTAGTCATTCCCCCCACCCTCATCTAATAATATAATATAATTTGATTTACTCTTATATCCCTAGGGTGAATCCGATTACAGTATTATTCTGCTAATGTAATGCTAAATTCCATTTGATAGTTTTATTAAGCATTTTTTTGCAACAACTTTTGTGAGATTGGTGTATAGCCTTTTGGGCTCATATTTTATCACTAGAGGCCTGGTGCATGAAAATCATGCACTAGGGGGTGGGGGGTGGGGAGGATCCTCAGCCCGGCCTGTGCCCTCTCACAGTCCGGGAGCCCACGTGGGGAGCGGGCCTAAGCTGTCAGTCGGACATCCTTAGTGCTGCCATGGAGGCAGGAGAGGCTCCCACCACCGCTGCTGCGCTCACTAGCTGTGTACCCGACTTCTGGCTGAGTGGCACCTCCCCTGTGGGAGCACTCTTACCACCAGGGGTCAGCTCCTGTGTTGTGTGTCTGCCTCCTGGTGGCCAGTGCACATCACAGCGACCTGTTGTTCCGCCGTTTGGTCGATTTGCATATTAGCCTTTTATTATATAGGATGTTATGTGCTGTCTTTGTAAAAAGAACTGGGAAGCTTACCTTTTTGCCTTCTCTGTTCTAATATAGTTATCTGGTGCTTGATGTTTTAAGGAATTCAAGAGTATAACCTCTTCCTGGGTCTGGTGTTTTTTTCGGGGAAGTCTCTTACTAACTAGTAAGATGAGCACTTTTTATTTATGGTTCCAGATGCTATCCCTTTCATATTTTCTTGATGAAACCAACCCCTTTCTTTTCATTCTCTCCCTTCAACCTATGAACATGTTTAAGTCTTCACCATCTTACACATATATCTATGTACACACTCATATCACAAAAATTTTCTTTACTAGTTATGTCCTGCTTAGCAAGTATTTATTCACAAAGCTATTTATTGAAATTGCTATTTTCAAGGCACTGAGGAAACAGAGTGAGCTGCAGTTCCTGTCCTCTACCTACTTCTAATCCAGTAGGAAACAGAAACATGAATACAAAACCTTGCTATAGCAATGTAAAGAATGAATATGCTATGCTAGTCCATGTATCTCTTACCATTCATACCATGCCAAACTTATCTACTGAATACTTATACTTTGGCTTCAACTTGTTTTAATCTGCCTTCAAGTTTCTTCCCTTGATATTAGTTTTATTCAAATCACCAAATCCAACCTCTTAAAGGATCCTCATTCACATTTTTGCAATAACTTAGGTTCATAAATATTTTAAAATTTTATTAGAGGCACTTCTAATTCACCATTATCACTTGATCCTTATGAAACCACTGAGAAAGGCGAGGTAGTTATTACTCTCACTTTGCAAGTTTCAGAAAATTAAGTAATTCACTGTTTATCAAAACTCCAATAAGCCGCAGAGTTAGGGACAGAAACGCACTCATGGCTTTCTAACTCCAGGTCCAGGGTTCCTTCTTCTACACTGTATTAACTTTATTGATTGATTACTAACTTGAATAATTAGTGATCATTCTTTTCTTGAAAACTTTTCTGGTCTGTTTTTCTAGTTTCCAAGGATCCTTATTTCTGTATTAGTTTCTAATGTTTATCAAAAGTATGTAGGTGCAAAGTTATGGTGCTCATTCTCTACCTTCTTCCTTTGGCATCTATCTCATCTACACTTAAGAGCATAATATAAGGAGAATCTCCTTTGAATTAAAGTTTAAGTTTTCTATTTCACTTGATGAAACTTAAAGATTCAGAATCATAGAATTCGATACTAAAAGGAGCCTTACAGACTATCTAGTCCAACACCTTTATTTAATAAGAAGAAAAACAAAGTTCAAATAATACAAATTGGTAGCAGAATTTGAATAAAAGTTTATGACAAAATTTGCCTTTTAATATGTATGAATAACAAAATAATGCATACATTTATACATAGTAAATATAAAGCAATTAAACTAATTTTAAGTGTAATTACTGGACTTCATTTCATATTTATTAAAGACTTGTCCCTATTTCTAAGAGATTTTATATGACAGTATTAATGTACTGATTCCAGTATTAAAAGTAGATTTTTTAAAAAGTCACAGAATAGCAATACAGTTAAAACCTACTCAATTCTATATATTCAGGCATTAATTATCTATATTTCAGATTTCTAAAGTGAACTGGGAATCAAAAATCACACCACTACCTATGCTCTAGGACTAGGTTGATATCATGCCCCAATTTACAAGGCAGAAACAGGTATCACTACTGCTTGCTGTAAAGCACTTGGATCAGTGCCTGGTACATAGTAAGCATTCAAAACATGTCAGCTACCACTGGTGCTGCAACAATTACTCCTTTTGAATATATTTATATCATTATAAATATGGCCATATTAATGATTCAACTATACAGAAAAGAATACTATTAGTGGACAAGTATCTCAACTCCTCTCCTTCAGTCTATTTTCCAGGTGTGC